GTGTGTGTGTGTGTGTGTGTGTGTGTGTGTGTGTGTGTGTGTGTGTGCGCGTGTGCGCATCAGACTCTCCAGAGTGGTAAGTGTGTATTGCAGGTGCTTGCCCTGGTGCTGGCTTTTGGCAACTTCATGAACGGAGGTAATCGGTCTCGAGGGCAGGCCGACGGCTTCACCTTGGACATTCTGCCAAAACTGAAGGACGTCAAGAGCAGTGTGAGTCTGTGTGTCACAGGGGTGAAAGCAAACATCACTCACGCCACAAGAGCATACATTCAATTAAGTGTTAAGGAGACTACAAGTGTGTGTATCAAGTTTTGTAAAATATGTAAATCATCATTTGTGAGTTCCCACAGAAACTGCTTTATTGTGTAATTGACGTTGTACTAGAAACTAAGTGGTGTGGGAAAATGGTGACTCTAAATGCTGATCTGGTCTCGGTTTTATAATTGTCCAGAAGTTTAAAAGGGACCTTCATTGTTGCCAAACATAAGGACTGATGCTGTGCAGATTTAGGGAGAGGCCTTTTTGTTTGCTGTTCTCATTCAATATCACAACGGGCTCAGCGTGCCCTTGGCACTGCCATATAAGGACACAGTGGTTTGTGTTTTTGTGGTGGTGGACTGGGTAAGGTATCCATAAAGAACATGAAACTTTCCTCCAACTCTGAGTTATGAAAGCTATCCCAGCACAGTCATGTTTTGTTGTACTGCTCCGCCAATGCCATGATTTATACCCAACTTCTACAAACGCTGTCTCTATTCCCGTTTACCCTGCACAAATTAAAACGTCCTGCTCTGAAATGATTAAATTAATAAATAAAGGGGTTTGTTTATTTGGATCTTTTTCTTTCTTTCAGGATAACTCACAGAGTCTTTTGTCCTACATTGTTGCTTACTATCTAAGGCACTTTGATGAGGTATGTTTTGGTTCCTGTTTATTTGAATCACTTTTCTGTTTTCGTCTGATTTGCTTAGAAATCCTTCCAGAGCTTTCTTTTCATCTCCTGTCTTGCCAGAGGATATCATGGCTTATCCTTTATCACATTATTTATTTTCTCTTTCCTCATTTACGGCAGAAACAAATCTCTCTCCTTCCTTGGCTCTCCCTTATAATTCTCTTTCTGTCTTTCACTCTTCATCTCTCGTTCTGCTTTGGTCTGGGTTCATTCAAACCTGCAGTCTGTTCATTGGCACAGCATCCAAAGGAGCGCTAGTCTAAATAATTAGGTTCTCCAGATGAGATGAACTCAGTACAGTGCTGCTTGCCAAAATCAACCTGCATGACATGGCTCTAGCATTCACAATGGCCTCGTAGTAACTCTGATGAAGAGAATCGCAGTGTACTTTCTGCACCGAGCCTCATGGTCATTATCTGCTGGAGTTTCAGCCATATCGTCTCTGTTTGGACTTTTGATAACAACATTTTGGCCTCTGAAGACATTTATTTAAATCTTGCCTGGTGTCTACAGTATATACTAGAGAGGCCCTCTCCCATTTGAGGAAGATTGACTTCGACACTGGTGTGTGTGTGTGTTTTGTGCTTTGCCAGGATGCTGGCAGAGAGACGTGTGTCTACTCTCTGCCCGAGCCCCAGGACCTTTTCCAGGCCTCCCAGATGAAGTTTGAGGACTTTGAAAGAGATCTGCGCAAGCTGAAGAAAGACCTCAATGGTATTGTCGTCAACTTCCGTTCCACAAATTTCCCCATAATCTTTAAACTGCATATTTACAACAAGCTAGTAAAGTCGGCCATGCTTTTTCAGAAAATGCATGTTTAAGATACCATCACATGGAAACGTATGTAGCAATAGATTATGTATTAAGCAGCATATCTCCTAGCACAATGGAAAATAACCCGACCAGCTATGGTTATGTGCGGATCGTAGAGGCGGGTCAACAGAGAGATAGCATCTGTTTGTCGTACAGACGAGCTAACCAGAAGCAGATGTGACTTGTCAGATGTAGACTCCTGTTGGACCTGGCATGCCTTTACTGTCCTCATGAAATAGAGATCAAAATATAGAGAGGGCAAGGTCAGGCAACATCCAGTGCGTGTGTGCACTATCAAAGGTTCAGCAGCTATTCACTGATCTGGAAGAGACTCTCCTGGAGCTCTGCATCGCCTCACCCTGCAAGCTGCAAACTCCCCCAACACACAACAAGGAGACTTTTTTTTTTGTTTTTTAAAGAGAATTTCAGAATGCTCCTGCATGTCTCTGTGCATGCTGTGCACTCTGCCCAGGGCTGTGCTAAATATGATTCATGAATGGACTGATTTGGTTAATGGCTGACTTTTTGACTCTTTAATTAATTCATGTTTTTTCTTTCATCAGACAGTTGTTCAATCAGTTCCTGAGTCTATACACATGGTTCATCTATTACACAACTTTCCATGACTATACAAGTGGGGGGAAAAAAAACTAATATTTTTAGCGGGTTTCACAATCCAAGGAGTAAGTCAGAATGTCCATTGAACTATGATTAGGATAATGAAATCTATTCAATAAAGTAAAACATAGTCATATGATGAGAGAAATGCTTTATGTAGGGACTTCATGTGTTGGACTTTGGTGTAATACAGATATTAAACACACACAGAGTACATCATATAAAACTAGTAAACATACAAAAGAGGCTTATAAAAACAATCTGGTAAAGAATGAGCGATGTTATCAAGACGTCAGGAAAAAAGTGTGGAAATTGGATTATGCTTGACATGCCAAACTGATTGGTTGAGTGTAAAGAGTCCTAATGAATGAGGCAGTTAGGAAATACTCCCTTTCATTACTCTGTCTCAAGTCACTCAGCACTCGGAACACTTTCCAAGGACTGAAGTGCCTACAGGTGGTAAAAAAACCAACATTGTGTATCCGTGTATGTGCAGGCGTGCGAGTATCTACATGTGTACGTGAGCTCGTAGCTCGATCGACAATTCCCCAAACCTGGTCTGTTCTCTATCATGCTTTATGGATCTTTGCTGCTAAACCAATCAGGTGCCTGATCCGTGTTGCCAAATATTGTTTTTCCTCTGCCATAATGATTCTTTAGGCTGTTCATTATTTGCGTTTCATAAAGACGGAGTTGCTGGCAGGGGAAATGGACTTGCGTCTGCTGCGACCCCAGTGGCAGTGGTGCATGCTGACCGTACATAAATACATCATCACATGCTATACCTGCAGATCTCTTCATTACCGAGCAGAGCCAGCTGAGCGCTCTAACAGACGTGGGCTTCGATGACAGTTCCCAGAGGGGGGGTTCCGATAGGTAGGCGGTGCTGAAATGGCCTTGGCTGGCCCGGAGGACATCAGTAAGCAACACAGTGGAGGGAACTCGCTGTGTACCTTTTTTTGGTTGAGGCACCATATGGTCTATGAATTACCACTAGCCCAGTCCCGACCTCCCCGTTCCCTGAAGCGCCTCATGGCCTCTCCACCTCCAAGGCACTTGAGCGGAGTTTGTGTATCCGTTATGATTGCAGATAGAGCGTGACGATAAGTTTCTCCCGGGAACAGAGCGCAGGCCTTCCTGGTTCCTGGGGGTGCCTTATTAGTCATTATGGGTCATTATGTCTTTCCCGACACTTATTCAGCAGAAACTCGGTAGAGATTTATCAAAGCAGGCGCAGTGCACTGTGGAGTTTGTAATTACAAAACAAAAGCTGGATAACATATTGATGTGCTGAAAGACTATCCCCCCCCCCCCCCCCATCATGATCATCTATTTTTGTTTCAGCATGCTCAGCTCAGACGGAGAAAGTTTGCAAATCGTCCTCTGAAGAGAACCTGCAACCCTTTCAGGGCAAGATGGAGGAATTTCTTAGCCAAGGTGAGCCTGTTGTTCAAATCCATTGAAGCTAATGTTGATGAGCCTTTCACCTGTCTCATTAAAGGATATTCTGTTTTTGTTTTCTTTCAAACAAATCCCATGAAAAGACCAATATCAACAATGAACTGATCCTACTAACAAGTGTTGTATTTGTAGCCAAGCCAGATATATTGTATTGCTCTGTGCCATAAACCTCCATTGTTGTCCAAAAACAGTGAGCCACACCGTTGCTTTAAGTGACATATTCCTTCATTACCATGAACATTGCCACTGTAGTTAAACGTATCCTCACACAGCGGTTTGTATGATTTTTATTTTTTATTTCTGCTTGTTAGTCTTTTGAAAATAATCCATCTTCACAAGAAACAACTTAGTTAGGTTTAGATAAGGTTGTGGTTTTGGTTAAAATAACTACAGAAGTGGCATTACTTTGGTACAGCAGTTATGTGACAAATAAATCAATGTTGACTTCTTGTTTCACATACGGCACAAACAGTGGTCTTCTGGCTCAAAGACCGTTTTTTGTTTGCCTCATCACCTTCCCCTCCCGCTCACCCTGTTCTCACCTTCTTTGGGTTTTTGCGTTCTTTATACTTATTCATAATTATGTTGATAATATACAAATGTTTCTATTAACTCCTTTTTGATGAACCTTTGCCAAAAACTTAATGTTTACATGAAACAAAGTTGGCTTAGGACTGAGCACCACAGCCTTGATAAGGAAGTTGTAAATGATTGATAATCTGACTATAGCATTGTTAGTTTTGTTGAGATTCGTTGAGTATTAAAATATAGAGTATCGCCAGCCTTGTCCTTACGATAGGGACTCTGTTTAAGCATGCGGTTTGCTCATCTGTGTTACCGTCACGAGTTAAAACCTAAAAAAGCAAATAATGTATTCCTCCTGATTCAAAAAGCATTCTGTGCTGGGGCACCCTAGGCATATCTAAGCTGAAAACGCATCTGTGGTGTGAGAGTTTGTGCAGCAGCTCATCAATCAGAATGCTGCAAGTCTTCTATGTCTGCAAACACATTTCCAAATCTGTTTCATGCTTTTCTCTGGTTGAGACACGCACACAAACACATACACACATGGGTTTCCATAGAGACATCTGTTTATACCGGGGTGTATTGAATAACTCTATTGTTTCAAGTATACCTATCTGCCTTGGCGGGTTATCGGTGCACTTGGTAGCTGGGTCTTTTATCTTGATCTTATAAAACAGCGTTTACCTTGCTTTGCCCTAAAGGGAGATTCAGGATGACCTAAGGTGAACCTGTCTTGCAGTCTGTTAAATTGACAGCGGAGAACAGAGCTGGATGACTGAGATACTGGAATAAAACTGATTTGTTTGTTTTGGATCATTTTCACTTAGTACTTTTGATGTCGTGGTATGTTGTTGTCATATATTTATCCTTTTTTCCTGCCGTTTAAGATTTTTACTCAGTTCTCGTCTTCCACTCTGTCTACTTTTCTGTTCTAATAAGGTTTTTTAAAATTCTATCAGAGAGTAGAACCCCCCTGTTGCCTCCATGACCTATTCTCTCTGTAAAACATGAGCTTCCTCTTTCGTTGCCATTTTATTCCGACAAGAGTCTACAGGCATGCTAGTGGTTCTGTAAGGCTGTAGGCAAGGCTGTGCTTTGAGCTAAATGCTAATATCAACATGCTCATAATGACACTGCTAACATGCTGTTTATCAGATATCATTTTTATCATGTTCACCATGTTAGTCCATCGTATAGCATTTGCTAATTGGCACCAAACGCAAAGAACAGTTGAGGATAATTGGAATTTTATTGGTTTATCGGGTATCTGACAGGCGGCAACTCCCGAATCTGAAGAGTGAAGTGAATGGGGAAGAACTTTAAACTTGCATTCTTTCTAATAGCCAGCAGGGGGGGGGGCGACTCCTCTGGTTGTAAAAATAAGTCATTGTATAGAGGTCTATGAGAAAATTACTAAATTATTATTTGATTTGTTACCTCAGTAAACATTAGTTTGTGGTCTCAATCACTAGTTTCAAATCTTCATAAATAAAGCATGATGGTCATATTCAAACTAGACTATAAAGCAGGGTATGCTTTAGGGCGTGGCTCCTTCGGGATTGACAGGCCACCACCGCTGCGTTATCTGGTCTGTGAGTTGTTTGTTTTTGTCTTCAGTTCATGTAATTTAATTGTAACTCTTTTTGTCGCCTAACAAAACATCTTACTCTGTTGTACCCTCTCGTGTCACTTCTGGTTGCAAAAAAACAAGATGGCGTCGGCCAAAATGCCGAACTTCAAAACGTAGGTCCACAAACCAATTGGTGATGTCACAGTGACTACGTCCACTTCTTATAAGCAGTCTATGATATTTGGTCATAAGCCAATGTATTGGACAAATTAGAAATTCCCCCTGATGTCTGCCAGGGGAAAAATCAGAGGATCATCACGTATAGAGGAAAACCTGTAACTTGCTGCCGATGCTAGATGAAAAATCTGGATCACTAAAGTTTTTAGGATTTATCCTCTGGGTTAGGGTTATTTCATGGCAATCCATCCTGTAGTTGCTGAGATATTTCAGTCTGGACCCAAGGGGGCTGACAGATTGACCATAATTGCCACCAACGGTTACATCTTTGTTCTCAATATTATTCCAATAAAATCCACTGTCGTGTTTGTACGTCATGTCACCAGATGTCACACAGGCATGGTTTTTTTGTTTTTTTTTAATCTATTGAGATACTGTGGTCTACTTCAAAGGTGTACGACTTAGTTTGTTATGCGTGTTTTAACATAACAAGCCAAATGTCATTCTTTATGTAGCATTGGCTTTGACCTTGGCTGCATTCAGTTGGCTGTGACCAATCTATCTGAAGGAACCGGCTCACAGTCATCTCTCCAAACTGCTTTTTTATTCAGATGAGTATAATACATAGCATATGTTCTTCCGCGGTAATGCTCACTGTCCATTTTAAAGGAAGTCTGCAGATGAAAGCATCTCTCCCCATTTCCACCCCTTTCTTTTCCTTTCTCTCTCTGTGTCTGAGAGAAATATGGGAGCTCTCTCTTTGATGCAAATGACTAGGTTTTTCCTCTGAGAGCAGAGTGTAAGCACCATAACATGGACATGTGACTCAGAAGGCTCCAGACGGGATTCTTGGGGTTCCTCCTGGGGTGAAAAAAGAACAGCCAAATGTCTTATTTTTGTTATTTCTGTAATTTCTAAAAAGCCTGGGGTTAAACTGTTTCTGGCTCCACAGTTTAAACCACTTTTGTTTATTTTCTGACCATGAAACTAACCACAGAATAACAGTGGGAGCGGACTTGTTGGAGCTTGGCTGTTTGGTCTAGCTCGATTTTCCCCGCTCGCTTCACAAATTCTCATGCATGCAGGCCTTTGATGGATTCACTGTGACTAGCAAGGGAGCACTGGCCATGTGATAATCTGTTTCTGATGGACATACAGATTAGTAAGACTGATGTCAAACCCTCCCTCCCTTTTCTATTGACTACTACTCTGCTGCTTATTGGATGTCACCAGATGTAGGCAGATTAGGGTTAAAATCATGATATATACCATGTTATGGTAAAGTCACATATTTAGTAGACATGATCTGTATCTTGTCAAACCACATGAAGTGACAACAGAACTGACATTTTTAAATATCCCTTGAAATGTCTTCATCTGTTATTTTGTTGTAAATACAGCAGTGTTGGAAAGTAACCAAGTATTACTCAAGTACTGTACTTAAAGCTGGGGAAGGAATATTGTCAGCATATTGCAATTCAAGTGGTCTGAGTGAGAACTTGACTTCTGCAGGGTCTCTTGTTTCCGTTTTCAGTCTTTAGAAAATCTAGCCCGATACGAGTGACTTTGGCCAATCGACACTCATTCCGGAGAGACGGCATTTCTATTGGCTGATCTTCAAAGGGACTTTGGTGAAACCCTGATTGATCGACAGAATATCTTTCGGAAAAGTTGCTATTCCAGCATTGGCAACAACTGCCTACACTGCAAAGCAAACCATAAAAGGAACACTGACTTATCAAAAAGAGAGAGGATATCAAATATTACTTTTTTAATATATTTTAAGTACTGTATGTTTTGATGCTGATACTTTGGTGCTTTTAGTTAAGTAAGAGTTTGAATGTGGAGTATTTCTGCAATTTAGTTTTGCTATTTTTACAAAATATCTGAATTCTTCTTCCACCACTGCCACATTTTCTTAGTAGATAAGAACACAACTAATCAAATTGAATTCCTAGTAAATCATTACGGGAAACGTTAATCAAAGGGTGACTGAGTTAATCTATTTTACTTGATATTCAATTTTCTAGAAATAGATTTGACGTCACTCGTCGCAGAATCGTCCAGTTTAGAGTTGTATTCGAATCTTAAAACTGCTTTCCTCAAAGGACAATGCACAGTTCTGATATTGAGATGCTTCTAGTAAGCCCCGTTCATATTATTTATCAATTTGTCATCATTCATTGATGAGCTGTCAGCAGAGAGAGAGACACGATCATAGTTTGCAGCATCATTTAGCACTATGGAATGGTACAGTGCATGGGCTCAAAGGGTTTGTCTGAGATCTTTAGATGCGACTCTGGCTTCAATTACACGTAGCAACCAGATATTCCGGAGATAAAAGCAGAACACAGATTTGTGCCAGGACAAATTCTCCGTCCCATCTACTGTCATGTCTGTCTTGGAAAGCCATGAGGAGGCCATAGGTCATTTCTGATCATTTGACAGTTTAAGGCAGCATCAGTTTAAAGATAATTGACGTTGAGGGGACGGAGAATCTGTGTGGGAGAGAACTGAATGTCTAACCTTAGCTTTAAGATACAGACCAGCAAAATAAAAAAAGAAACAGCTGGATTGACTCTACTACGATGTATTTAAAAATCAGCATGGGTCTGAAATTTGATAAGTAGTAACCTGCAGCATTTTCCTGACTGAGGCTGTCACATTTAACTGCTGTTCTCTCATATCATCATTTATAACACAGTCAAAATGATCCTGATGGCCCACCGAGATAAATGTTGTGGCCTGCTTGAAATATGTCCTAATGTGTACCATGTAGTCCAACTCCCAGCTTTCTCTCTCTTACTCGCTCACACCTCTTACACAAACACACACGCACACACATATATATATATATATATATATATATATATATATATATATATATATACACAGTCATCTGTCTCCATTGGAAGTAACTACGCACAAAGAAGCACTTGTCCTGCGATCTGCAGCACTCATTTGTCAGTTGTGCAACAGCAGACAATCCAACACTTAATAACTTGGTGGCACAGCACTGACCTTGGAGATGGCTGTTGATTTAAGTAATGGTGACATGTGGAATCCTCCTATATACAAGTTGCATCGTGGGTCAAAGATGTACTTTCTGATGTATCAGGAAATCCTGAATGAGTCCTAATCTAATCCTGTATTTACTTCTGTTCTTTCCTTTTATCAAAACGTGCCATCCTTTACAGCCACAACCGAACTGGAAACGCAAGAGAAGCAGTTGGCAGACACTCAGAAGATGTAAGGTTTTTATCTTCTTTTTTTTTTTTCTCTCTTCAAACATTTTCCTGCAGCTTCTTCACCTAAAAAAAAATTTGCAGTCACTTCGGTTCCATTTCATGGGTTTACATTAGATCTTTTCTCAAGTGTCAAAAGGGTGATCACAGTTCCAGTTCGAAGTGATCTATTCTCACAGTTAAGTAATATAATCATGCTACTTTGTCAATATTTAGGATCTTCAGTTCCTACAGTTACATAGAAGGTGCAGGCCATCATGCCAGGCCCTCAGCAGACGGGAGGCCCCATGTGCGGTGTCTGTGTTGTTTATCTAAGCGGAGCGAGAGTAGACAGCCTTGGCTCCAGGCTTCTGTTACTGCTGGCTAGGAATGTGTTCCTATAGCACACTCCAAACAAAGAGACCCCAACCTGTCCTCTGTATTGATCCACTGCAAATGGTCTCCACATTTAACACTTGAACATGTGTCATCCCCTGCCATATGCATGCTTTCCTTTTGCCGGATCTGTCTTTGGCTCCTTGTTGAACATGTTTTTTTCCCTTGCTCTCTTTCCTCACCCATGCTTAGAACAGTATGTGCGTTTATATGTACACACACTTAAATAGAAGCTTTTTCACACTGAGAGGAGTGACAAAGCACTATATTAGATGTATAAGTGTTTTAATTTAGTCCTTGAAGTTAATCTGTCAGAAAAGAAACAGAATGACTATGCTGCTTTAGTGACAGTAATTCCATTTTGTGTGCATTGTTCTTCTCTGAAATGCACAGTCATCATTGGTTTGCGTTTTGTTTTTATGTAACTCTATTAAATCTCTGAAAAAGCATATTATTCCAAGATTAACTTTAATATTTTGGATATTTGCTTAGCACGGCCAAGTTTCACAACAGTTGGTGTATGTTTCTGTCTGTTTCATGTTGTAATAGTTTAGTCTTGAAGTAATGTTATTGTTCTCCGTCCTCAGCTTCTTGGAGTTGAGTGTGTCCTTCTCAGTTAAACCCAAGGCAGGAGAGAAAGAGGTCTCTCCCAACGCTTTCTTCTCCATTTGGCACGAGTTTTCCACTGATTTCAAAGACCAGTGGAAGAAGCAGAATAAGCTGATGTTACAGGAACGGTGAGAATCTGATGACGCGTTCCCTTTTTCAGAATGTGACATTATACTTGATACGGACACTGAAAGATCCGTTGAACCTATTGTCCTAAAATCCAAATCCTGCTCAGGTATCGGCGGCTTTTCAGTCACTTTTTCTGTGTCTTTGGAAAGGGTACACCACTCTCTGACCCATTTGAAATGCTATTACAGATGCACCAATATTACTTTCCCAAGCAAAAGTTCCTGAATTATTCATAACTTGCAGTACATCGTGTTCACTGAAGATCATATCAGACTCATTCAAATTCATGAAGGGAAAAGAGGTTAAATGACCCAAATCTTTGTCCTCACCCCAGTAATGAAAAGAACACATGCAGCATCCAGATAGCTTCCAGTGGTTTGATGAATACAAAGATACTGCTGCATATGTCAACAAAAAGCAAATTGGTCCATTATGCCAAATGAAGATTGAATTGTGATATGTATTTGTAAGAGAAGCAAAATGTCACAATCTTTGCTTGTTCAGTAGGAAAGCCTAAAAAGCATTAGCTCTTTGCTAGAGGCAATCTTCCCAATTCTCTCTCCTGGTCTTGGTTTTAGACTCCAGTGGAACTATAGATATTAATCCTTACCTGTTTGGACATGCAGCTCTGGCACACATTGTTCCCCGCTCAATGCCAACATGCTGATAATTCGTCTTTTTAAAGCACAAATGAGTAGTGACACTGCTGGCTCTCTGCATGCAGTAGTAAACTATGTGAGTCATTTTAAAGTAGGAGCACTGGCACTTTGACAAACCGAGATCATTGCGTCCACATATACCAAAATTTCCAAATAACCCAATTACCATAGTCTGGATGACCCAAGCTGTTTCTTTGTTTTTTTTCTAGTGCATCTTTCTTTTTTTGTGGTGAAATAGTGAATTTAAGCAGCAGTGTGAATGCATGTGTCCAGCTTTTGAAGTCTCCATATGATAACTGATGGTTGTAATTGGTATTTCTTTAGGGTCAAAAGGGCTGAAGAGTGCTTCAAACAGGCCAAGGAGAAGGCTTCCTACAATGTGAAACCCAAACATGCAACTGGAATCGTACGTCTTTACACTTCTTGTCACAGTTGCTATATGGTTGCGTCTGTGCTTTAATTTGTTGATGTAGCTTCAGCAGTATTTTTTTTTTTCTTCTCTTGGTGCAAATTGCCTCCTCCTTCCAAACACTTCTCATGAGTGCCAGTACTGCCAGCTGTAAATAACTCGGGTCTGTTTTTTATTCTGCAGAAAGCAAAACTGGGTCAGAAGATCTGAAGCAGAGAATGGAAAATGATCATCACCCAGCCTATTGCACAAGCACTGTCTGTACAATCTGACGTGACTCATTTTTACAGCATTTATTTGCTTCCGGTGTTTGTTTTCGATTGATTTAGACCTGTTGTGAGTTAGTTTAAAAGTGGAATGAAAAATGACATTCTCAGCCACCCTTTTATAGCACTCGCATAATTAAATGAAACATTGCCACCAAAAGACATCCTTAAGCTGAGATGATTAAATGTCGTTGCTAGAACATGCACAGTGTAGTCTGAAATTTGTAGCAACACTATATCCAAGCTTACTCAGTATTTTATAAGCCATATGTAGCCTATTTTCTTTTTTTAAAACGAGATTCCTAAACCTAGTTTTAGTAAGGAATAAGCACTTCCTCTTTATATCTCCATTAATGGTAAAAAGCACAGAATTTTATAACATTTCTACATGGTAGGCATGGATCACCTGCCAGACTGAAAGTGCCTTATCGCACAGTGGAGGGGTCAAATCAGTGCTGTCGATCAGAGCTTATTTTTGAGACATATCACCTGGAATTAAATGTTACATGTTAGGAGAAATCAGTTTTACATCAGCTGAAACATGACAACTTTACGCTTCTTAAGAGTTTCATCAAGTTTGCTTTAGAACCTTGTGATGATTATAGCAGCTCCTATATTGTAGTATAATGTCTTTTCATCCAAAAATAACATGCATACCTAAGTGGTATGAGCCAATTTAGATCTATTGTTTTACTCAGCAGTATTGTCAAAATGTTTTGTTTTAAGCAAAAACCTGATGCAGTTAGTTGTGCTTTTCCTACTCTGTGTGAGTCTGTGAACTCCCATATGCAAATGGGGCAATAGGACCATGTTATGTGTTCCGTTATGTTCATGTGCAATACCAACAATGTGTTTTGATTGAATACCCTTGTCATGAAAAAATATATTTATTGAATAAAATAAATGACATACATTTTTAAATTTTAAAAAAATCTGCTATTGCTGACTGTTTTCCATTTATCACTTGTCCATCCGTGATATTAAGTGGTACAGAACTACATGCACTCGAAACACCACTGTTTTGTATGAAATAGATTTAATATACTTTTCCCATATATACTTGCACACATACATAAAATATATTTATATACTGTATATATTGCATTGCACCTCCATTACACATGCTGCAGTATGTTTTTCCTACTGGCTAGTATATTTGTGGCAAATGTACAGCATACAGCCAGCCTTGTGTCCAATCAGGTGGATGCCACTGGTCATTGTGTTGTGTTGCTTCATGTTTCTTGAAATCTTTTCCTTAACATCCGCTTGTGTATCACTTGGGACATAATAGAAGTCAAGGAAAAGATACAGGATGACGGATACAATACTTGTAAAACACATCAACATCTCCTACACAGGTTAAAACATGGTGGCAAACTGTGTAATTACTGTAGCTCCACCTGCATAAAAACATGTCATATTACATTAATAGGGGTCACACTATTTCTACGGTTTCTTTAAGACGCTGAATTATCAGCGGTATCCTTTGTTTTGTAGTTTTAAAACTCCAAGGCACTTTCTCGCTATCACAAAGGAATCGAATGACACATGTAGAAATAGTCATGTAGATATGAACTGGAAATGACAGGGAGGAAAAACTTGCTCAATGTTTAAAACGGTCTGCTTCCTCATCAGTGTCTCTTGTGCAGCCACTTGAATCAGTCTCAACAGCATCAGCTTGCCAACATGGCTGCTAGTCTCTGATTAAATCATCGACGAGCCTTTTTTTTTAGTAATATCAGTTCTGTGTTTCATGTCATTTTATTGTAGGGCACGATGCAGAATAGTTCAACTTTCAGCCAGCGCTTGCTTGGGTGAAGTTTGTGAATTCCTGCCTTGGACAGATCATGTGTCATTTCAATTTTAAAAGGCCTTCTTAGTCCTTCACAGTTTCCCATGGCCGCTCACATCTACAGACATGCAGCGACACTGTTTGACCCTCTGCACCTTACGGTGTCTGAAAGGGGGCTGCAGGTCTGGGCAGTCTAGCTGCACTGTGAGCTGTGTGATGCGGTGTGGCCTGCAGAAGGAGCAGGACTGGAACGGCTCCTGGGCCTTGTTGTGGTTTTTCCTTCCAGAACCTGAGGCTTGGCCTCGATTCTGGCCTTCACCCGAGTTGGGGCCCATATGGCGGGGAATGTAGAAGGAGTTGCACTGGCCGTAGCAAAAACGGTTGACCACAGTGTGGCTGCGGCAGCCCTCCTCGCTGATTGTCTGACGGAGGGGTTGGGTCTTGCACCAGTCTCTGCGAAGGTAGCGGCGCTCTGTCACCACCAAGGCCTCCCGGCTGGAGGATAGCACCTCTGGTTTCTGCTGCAATAGCCGGTGGTGACGTTCTGAGGACAGGTTCCCTTTGGTCTTGTGTGGGGATGGGATGGATCCCTGGGGCCGGTGCTTTTTGGTCTCTGCGGTGATGCAGAGCACCCCGGCCAGTATGACTGGGATAGTTATTCTCCACAGCATTCTGGAAAAAGAGAGAGGCACATTACTATGCATGACATTCCTAAACAAGAATAAAACATTTGTTGAACAGAATTTGAAAATGAATGACACTAAAGCTGGCGTTACTCTAATTCAGGCACAGTGATAATACATGACAAACTTTTTGATAAATTGCAAACATGATATCAGCCAATCATGTTTACAATTGTGTCAATCTGTATTCGTGTTAACCACCTTTGCAGTCCAGCCTTCAAGGCATCATTGGGGAAATTAATCCATCACCAGGTCCCCCATTTGTCAGCATCTCTGTGTCATTACTTCTATTTGCTTTCCTCTCGGCTACGCAACTCTTCTAAAAATAAACAAAGCCCGGCCATCAAAGGATACACTTAAACACCCATTACGAGAAGGGGAAGTTGATTTTATTGGTCCCGTCGCCGGGTAAAATAATTAGGGCTTTGCTTACTTTAGTCATGAACTATGCCGCAGATATGTAAACAGGCATTAGGAAGGCCCATCTGCATGTTATTAGGGAAGAGTTGGGGAACTCTAACGGATACCCTTTGGGAGTCCACTCTTCTATTCTTTGGTGATATACGATGTAGCAAACTGAACTGAGAATGACCCAGAGTGTCCATAATCACCATAATGTAAGAAGAAAGATCGCATGATTTCGATAAATGATTTCTCTGCCATTCAGGACGGAGTATCTGCCCGTGTGCATGCTGTCAGAATTTGCGCCAGCACATTTTTGATCATCACTCAAGCATCTTTTCAGCAGATGTTGCTCTTGACAAGCGTTGCATGACATCAAGTCAGAAATCCTGACAGAGAACCAAACTGCCTCAAGGCCGTTGGCTGTTCCCATTCACAGACTCTTCTTTGCTGTACAAATTTGTATGTTCCCTTTCCTCCTTTCCTGGACCTGCAACTCACTCTGACATGGTACAAATCCCTTTATCATAATCCACTTAGTTTTTTGCCTCCTTTTTTCTGCCCTTGACCCTGAGGTCATGGCAGCTTTGTCCGAGCTGCATGAGCACTCAAGTCAGTATATCACTATCCCGGCAGCACCTCACGTAAGCTAGAGAGCAGCTGTTTGTCCATCTTGCAGAAATGGAGTTTGAATTCTAACCAGGCATTTTGTATAGGATATCAGGAGATATACATATCTTGGAATTACATAGACACCTGACTTTGTAACACTTTCTTGTTCAAATCTGATCTCTTGTTTTTGTAGTTTGTTTTCTTTATTACTGTAAGAAATCAAACCTGTGTGGAAAGGATTAAAGGGTAATTTATTGTAAAATGCAACACAGGGTTGCACAACAAAATGCAGTTGTAACCCATTTTCTACAAAAGAGAAATATTACAAACAAAACAAAAAGAGTAGTGCATTCCTATCGTGCATTTTTTAACTTGCATCAGGAGGAATCCATTAACATTAAACATTCGACATCGGGGAAACATTGTTCATCAACTTTGAGCACCAAGCATCATTGACGTAAACACAGAGTCCGCCTCCTCTCGTCCCATCAGAGTCCTTTGGGCCTCTGGCCAAGTGCAGCTTGATGCCATGATGGAGCCAGGTCTCTATAGCTATATGTATGTATATGTGTATATATATATATATATGTATATGTATATATATGTATATGTGTGTTTGTTTGTTTGTTTTTTTGCCAAACTTAAATATTTAAATCAAGACGGAAACTGCAGCTCAGAGCTGTGTTTCTTCTGTAGGCCCACGTTTTACATGCTCACACAAGCTAGCACACATGCCCACGCACGCCCATCCTCAGGTTAGAATAACTAAACCAAAGACTCCCACTGGGTCCTTCACCAACTACTGCATCATGGAGTCATGACCCCACTCCATCTTCCAGTGATCTACCCTCCATGTAAAACACAGTCTCATTTGTTAGCTGCTCCTTCTCATTCCTGCTGACTTGGTATTTATGCCTGGTCAGGGAACAGGCTCAGCTTTTGCGTGCAGCCTCTTGTTCTCTCTTTCCCTGTTCTCCCGCTGTCCATCGTTTAAAGAGGCACCCTTTAACTCTGGTGAGCTACAGTCTGTGATGCCCCGGGGACTTTTGAAGGATGACCTGACCGACTGTGTACATAGGGCGTGACGGATGGCCTATACAGCCAGCAGCAGCGCTCCCTCTCCACTCTCAAACTCTGCCTGAGTATGATAGTGTCGGCCCTGCTAAGCTATACTAATCAATCTCTGCTGCGAGACAAATTGCGGTTTTGGGGCAGGGATTCATGGGGTTCAGGGGGAGCCCCTGAGGTGGTTAGTGGTTTGGGTTGGGAGATGGGTGGGGCTGAAGAGATGGTGGGGTTTAGGACAGATGACCTACTGGGAAACAAAACCAACCTCACTATGCATAGTAGTCTTCATGCATAGTATATGCCCTCCCCGTACAACTGTTTATCGCTCCGCAAGTTGTTTGTCTATTAATTTCTTTCCCTTACTATCTGTTTCTCTCTGTCCATCTATCTGTCTGTCTCTCCTTGATGCACAGCACTAATCACCACAGAGTCCCGGAGACGGAAGGAGACTGTGGTTATGTGAGTTAATGCTGAGGCAGAACTGAACCGGACCTTTGCTGAACAGTGAACACTAATATTGCCCACAAACACAGCTTTATATTTTAGCAGGACCACAAATACTTGGGGGATATGCTTCACTGAACTGTGGCAGACTTTGGTTCCAAAATTCAGACCTCTAATGAAATTACAAATACCAGAAACAAATACCAGAGAGACTGCAGTCTTTTTGAAAACTATTATCATCAGTGGGAACTTGTTATGTTTTGTTTTTCAGAATGGAATTATAATAGCATGGTAATGTTCTCTGACTGGATAACAATGGGTCTTTTTTTTTTTTTTTTGAAAGTCAAAGACAGACGAAAAACAAAATTAGTCAAGAAAATCTCCAGCCTAGATGAAACATACTCTGATATTTCAGATTGTCAGTTCTTAAACTATTGAAAAAAAGAAACAATAACCCATTCAAGCTCACAGATGTACTTCCACTAAACCATGTGAAACATCTTCCCAGCATGTCTTCAAAGGCAGGTTAAAACAAACAAAACCTGATGCCTCAATTATTGGTGCGTCAGAAAGTCTCATACACAGACTGGTAAGTGCAGTTAATTACAGTAGAACTGCATTTAATTCACCGTGCAGCTCAAACCTCAATCACATAAGGGTAGCTGAACACACGCACACACTCACACACACACACACACACACGCACACAGGCTACGTGACCACACACATGTGCATACACACACACACACACACACACACACACACACACACACACACACACA